AAAAAAAAAAACGCACTTTTGAAAACCAAAAAGGTGTGATTACTTTAGTGGTTTGAGTTTCCACTTTAACCAATTCAAATCTTATAAAAAAATAAAAAAAAAAAAATGAAAATATTTTTTTTTTAAAATATAAAAATACCAGGTGCGAAAAAAAAAAAAATACTGTTCCAGTCAACCGGCCGGACGTCCAAGAGGATGTCCTGGAGGACGACCGGGTAGACCCAATTTCAAAATTCAAAATTAAAAAACTCACTCTGCCAAACATATTCTGAAAAGAATTTTCAAACGTGGATGTGGAATCAATTTTTGAAAACTATATCCAAACACAACACTGAAATATGGGTGTGGAATTATGATTCCTCACCTAAACCAAACACAGTCTCAGTTTTTCAGCACCACATCAAGCTGTCATAGGAATATATATACATATATGAATGTTTGCCTGTTCATGTGCAATACCATGCATTTTGTGCTCCTGACATCTTCTTGTGGCCCATGGGAGAAGAAAGGGTGCATTCCAGTAATGAACTAAAAATATATTAGATAGCTTTTATAACCTTAGACAAAGAAACAAGATATTTTGAGTAAAGTTTTTGCTCTAAATCCATGGAGGGCATATGATCATGTAGAAAATTTAATGTATAAAGAGAAATAGAGAATTGTATAGATATTGATTGTATTATTGATAGATGAATTGATACATTTTCTGTCTATTACAAATGGTTCCTTATATAGATGTAGGTGTAGTGGATGGTGTGTAGTGGATGGTGATAGTGGTGTAGTGGGGTAGGTTTAGTGGAGTAGGTGAGGTGGTAGTGGTGGTAGGTGATGGTAAATTCTAACAGATCATATCATACTTGGGTTGCAAGTGTCAATTTTGGGAAAACATAACTATACTTTCAGTATTTTTACCAAATAATTTAGATACTGATGGCTTATAGGTATGAAAATGCTGAACTTTCGTTACTGTTGTCATGTTACAGTATTAGTTCTTTACATGCTTTATTGGTCTTGCAGGTGCCCAGCTTGCAGAATGTACAAGGTAATAGGTATTCTCTTTGCTGAATGTTGTGTTTAGCATCTTAAATTAAATGGGGAAATATTTCCTTATGTTTCTATTGCTCGAGCCACAACTTGCAGCCACATTACGAAAAGGTAGTGAGGCTTTTCAATGGACCTGAAGCAGTTCATCCGGGGATCATATTGATGACAAGGGTAGACTGTGCATTGAAGGTATTGTTGCTGTGCTTACATGATACTTCCTCCATGGGTGGGATTATGCTCATATAGTCATATTAATGAACTCAGATATTAGTTCTCCACTGTTGATACATTGTCAAAAAATGGAAGAGCTTCAAGAATGATATAGTCCTATCTATATAATTCAAGGACACAAAATCTCGATTATATTAACCATAGTGGTTTGCAGTGTTTTGTCATCTTCATTTGTTGCTTTACTTCCTTTGAAATGTGACATAATATAGCCAGTCATTATATATATACTAGAGGTGGGTGCACACATAGTGCATGTGCAAATATATGTAATTTAGCAATGGAGAAAAATGAATAAAAATCATTTGTGAAATTTTGATTATTGATAGTTATCAAATTGTTAGGGGTGTTTCGGAAGAGAGAAAAAGTGACAGAAGAAGGTTCTATACCATCTCAAGCCTTTGCTTTATATAATAGAATCATATATATATATATATATTTATATGCACATGCATGTGATTAGGAGGCAAGAAATGTGTCATTACGGTTTTCAAACTATATAGATTTGTGACTCGACTTATGTCAGTTAGACTTAAAAATCAGTCTTCAAACTACATAGATATGTGACTCAACTTATGTCAGTTATGTTAGATTAATAAATCAATCTTCAAACTATATAGATTTGTGACTCAACTTATGTTAGACTTAAATTTATTAATAAGCAAAAACTATTCTATATTTGAAACAATTATCTAAGTAAGAAAATTAGGAGGGTTAGTTTTTTCAATCAAGTTGTTTGTGATAAGATCAAGGTTTCAAAAAGCGGTGTTAGGTAACGGTTGCGGCCGTTACATAACGGTTGATAGGTCGAGTTTTAACCATTGAACCAATGACCCCCTCATCATATAGCCCTTTGAAAATATACAACAAAATTAAAATAGTATTAGAACCTGTAGAAACATAATATTAGAGTCAAATTAACCCTAACTATGATTATATACATGGCACTTTTTTCTTTCTTTCGATGCTTTGCAACAGCTAATAGCAGCAGTATATTTGCTCATGAAAGACAAGCATTGGAGAAGAATTATCGTCTCAAAGAACAAAGGGATGTCGGTGATTGGAACACTACAGAAAACTTTAGGGTGTTTGGAGTCGGCCTTTGAAAAGGTATTGGAAAGAGGTGACATGAGTTTGCAAACCATCTTTATTTTGCAATGGGAGATGGAGATGGGGTGAGCTTTTGGCTTGAAATTCAGTGAGGAGTTGCCTCTTTATGGAATACTTTTTCCCTTTTTGTATGAGATGTCAATCGATAGATTTGCCTCGTTGTTTATTGCATACAAGCTAATGATTTGGAAATTGAGTCAATGGTGTAGTTTCTTATGAGTTTGTATAGGAACGTTTCAGGATGGGGAGAGGATGGGATAATAGAAAACCCCCCAAGGTTGGGAAGTTTGAGGTAAAATCTTTTTACAAGGTTAAAAGTCTATTAGGACCCTTGGATGGAAAGAGATTTGGAGAGTTAAAGTTCTTTCCAATTGGGCATTCTTTTGAGTGGGAGGCCACTCATGGAAAGATGTTTACAATTAATAGCTTGATTGGAGTAGGAAGATTAAAGTAGGAAAATTATCTCCAATTGGTATCACTTGTTATGGAAATAGGCTACCGGTGGACTCATTTTCATTCATTGTATGGTGGTAGGAGAGATATGTTGACTGAAAAAATGGTCACTTTTGTTTTTTATGGTTAATTCATGGGCAATACCTAAGTCTATGACTGAATTATTTCATTATTGGAGAGGGTGTAGTGTTAGCAAGAGAAGAAACATGGCATGGTTGGTAGCTCCTTCACATGTGATGATGCATCTATGGGGTGAGAGAAACAGGCAGTCTTTGATGGACAGTCTCCAGTATTTGCTGTGAAGAGTAGATTTTTGGATTTTTTGTATCGTTGGGTCACAAGAAAGGTGCACCAATTGTGGACAGGTTTTCAGAGTTTGTAGACAAAATGGACTTTTGAGAGTTGTAGTGGGGTGAAGGGATTTATTTATTTATTTATTGCACTGGTATACATGTTGTATACATCCCCTTAGGCACTAATTTACGTATCAGGTTATCTTCTCACTCAATTTCAAGTGGCTAAGAAGCTTTGAAATTTGATCTTAGTGATGTTTGGGGTCTCAGGTTGTGCAGGTTGGAAGTTTGGAAGGTGGAAACATTGTGGAAAATTCGGGTGCTGGATGATAAAAAAAGAGGGTAATTGGGTCTTGTCAGAGGAGGAAGCTTTGGCTACATCCATTTTGAAAGAAGAGTTTGGGAGGGTTGTGAAGATAGGAATACCCACTTTTTTCATAGGATGGCCAGCACTTGTAGGAAGGCAAAATTTTATTAATAGAGCAATGGGGCCTTGTCAAAGGAGGAAGCTTTGACTAGATCCATTTTGAAAGAAGAGTTGGAATGTTGCCAAGATGGAAGAAAACAGTTGGAGATAAGTTGAGGCAACTGTGGCTTAAAGAGGGTGACAAGATTACCCATTTTTTTCCATAGGATGGCAAACACTAGTTCGAGGCAAGATTTATTAATAGCATTCAAATGGAGATTGTAGTTTTCCTTAGGTTGACTTTTGTGCATACCGAATGCCGCACTAGACGATTGTGGACTGGAGTTCCGCACCTGATTGGACTATCCAGGAATTGAGACCCTGCAACAATGAACACCGTTTGAGTTGCCCGGTCGGAGTTGGCCGGATAACCGCTCTGGTGTACGAGTAAGTGATCGGAGAAGATGGAATATGCACTCTAAGTGTAGAGAGTTGTGTTTAAGTGAGTATGGTACAACCCAACTTAGTTACCTTCAATGTGAAATCCTTGTAGTTTATATAAAACTCCTTACTTGTTGCCCAAGATGGTTTCATGAAGCTTTGGTGCTGCCAGGCTTCTTTTAGCATTGCTCAAGGTAGAGGACCATCTGGTAGTTTAAATTGGGTGTATATACTCGTCGTAACCATGCTGATAACAGGTCACATACCCCTGATCAACCATTTCCGTGATTATAGGGGAGGGGACCAGCTGAGATGGCAGCCTGCACATGTGTGCATTCACAGCTTCCACATTTCTCTGAGAGGTTCCCTCAGTTCGGTACCGTTGTGCCTCGGCTCGGTCCTTTGTAAGACTGTTTATAGAGATGGGCTTGCCCATTTAGATATCTTTGTGTGGGCTCGGCCCAATTTGGTTTTTAGTGATGCGTTTAGCCCATTAGTTCAATCTAAAGATTGATTCTTGCAGCTTGGCCCAACCCAGCTTCACGGTTGGACTGGCCTTTCCACTGCAAGTTGGGCCCAAGTGCTTGAGGACTTGGGCGGACTGTTGATCATGGAATTGGGCTTAACTGGCTTTCCCACATGTTTATTTGACCCACTTGGACTTAGGTTTAATGAATTGGGCCGGCCTAAGGCTTGGATCTAACCTGTTTATATTTTCCCCCTTCATTTGCCCCCTAGCTCGCGCTAGGGTTCCCCGTGGGGAGAGCTACTGTCCAGCACTCCAAGTGTCGTGTTGCTTCGGATCTGCCCCAGTTCGGCCTTGGTGGCGGTTTGATCCTGACACATGCACTTTGCATGTGTTCTTTCATGATGACACGCGGTGGCGTTGTACTGGTGTGCAGAGGTAATGCGCCGAATCCATACAAAGGGTCATGATCTTGTACCTTCGCGCCGGTTGAGGATAATAAATGCCCTAGGCGTGCCAATTCAAACACCTTCGTCTATCTCCAAATTTCAGGAAACCCAAAAAACCCCTTCATTCTTCTACCTTGGTCCCGACGGTGCTCTGCCCAGACTCTCACCGCCATTACCGCTGCCGTTCTCGTTCCAGTCTCAAGGATCTCTGCTTATCGCTATTCCTTCGTCAAATCTCTGCAAGTTCCCCTGAAATCTATTTTCTCTTTTGCTTTTCTGTCTTGATCGCCCTCTTTGGCCCTCGTGCCATTGTTTCTGGTGACTGGTTCTATCCCTTGCTTTGTTGAGTTTTGTCCTTGCCCTACTAGGTCTAGATAATGGGAAAATTTCGGGCGTTGGTGGATACTCTTGAGGCAATGTCCTTGTTCCACCATGACTATGGTATCCCTGATGATGTGATCCTTTCGCTGGCAAAAGTTATCGCCAAGCATATGGGTACCAGAAACACTGTTTCTTTCCCCGTTGCTACCATTGTTGAAGGAGGGGTCCGGTTTCCCCTTGATCCATTAGTACGCCGTTTCCTGCACCAAGTTCAACTCACCCCAATGCAAGTGTCCGTAAACTTGTTCCGAGTTGTCTATGGTGTCTCCGCCCTAACCAGGCGATTGGGTCTGAACCTGGACATTTGGGACATTTTGGGTTGTGATACCCTTTCACACAATAAAAATCATAGCACTTATTATCTCCATGTCCATTCAGCTAACTGTCACCTTGTCACCGGCTTACCTGATTCCGACAAACACAATGATGATTTCTTACAAGTTGGTAGTGTGGGTGAGAGGTTTGGTTAGAGGTAGTCCGGGAAGATGGCGGGCACTTCAATGGCCTGAGATCATCGGAGGTGGAGAGGAGAAGGTCAAGGCAAGCTTGGAGAGGGAGAGGTTGGCAGTGATAGACCTTGAATATTAATGCAAAGTGAGAGAGGGTGTTTTAGTATGAAACTTGGTGGTCTTGTTGTTGTTGTGTCTCGCTGCATATACGATACGTTATATAGGCCACAGGAGTATTGGAGCCCAAGCAAACTGTTGGACAGGTGGCTCGTTCTCCTCAACTCTGCCAGAAGTGATATAAGCCCTTCTGCCGTCTGTGTCTTGACGGCAGGCGGAGAGCAACGTTTCATGGCAGGCGGAAAGTAACGTTTCGTATATGCATCGGATGACATGAACGTAAGGTCATTGTTGCCTCTTCTCCAAGCCTGGTCGAGATGGAGTTGTCTTAGCAAGAAGACAACCATCTCAACGATCCCATGACCTCAGCCGCCAGTCCAGTATCCTCTGATGATC